TTTTCTTCTTCTCTTTTTTTAGTAAATGTCTACAGGTGAAGAGGTTACTAGCCCATTGCTCCCGGCATTTTAGTCGCCTCATACGACACGCATGGCTTATGGAGGAAAGATTCTTTTCCACTTCCCCATGGACAATAGAAGAAATAAAGAAGAACAAGAGCTATTTAGAAAAAGGAGAAAAACCTAGATGTATGTATATATATATGCATGTGCGTGTCTGTGAAGTGTGACCAAAGTGTAAGTAGGAGTAGCAAGATATCCCTGTTATCTACTCCTCTGAATGTATACATGAATATGAATGAGTACAATGCTTCACATGTACCTGATATAATCAGCCCTTGTAAAATGCTTCTATACAATTTTTTTTTTCATAAATACAACTGAAAACTTGCATCCCAAGTTGAGAAGAACATGAAAAGGCTTTTATATTAAGTGCTGTTCAATTTTTGATGCACTTTTTCAATCACACTTATAAAAACTGCACTATATAGATCTTTTATAACTGACTACTTTTCTTTGAAATACAGTGGACCCCTGGTTAATGATGTTTTTTTCATTCCAGAAGTATGTTCAGGTGCCAGTACTGACCGAATTTGTTCCCATAAGGAATGTTGTGAAGTAGATTAGTCCATTTCAGACCCCCAAACATACACGTACAAACGCACTTACATAAATACACTTACATAATTGGTCGCATTGGGAGGTGATCGTTAAGCGGGGGTCCACTGTACAAGACTAATATGTCTATGAAAGCTGTCCAGTATTAATATAATGTACTATATAGGATAATGCTGCCGTACTTTTCAGGCATAGTCGGTCAAACAAGTATAACTGCCCTAAAAAGAAATTTCAAATTTTATGGGCATTCATACACACACACTTGTGAATTAACATGGATATATAATCTTAATTCTATACTAAATCATATTTTGCAAACTAACATTGCTTAAATTAACATAATTTAACTTCTACCCAACATATGTCAGCTTAAATTTTTAGTTTTATTTAAATATCTATTAAAAATAGGTATGTAACGGTATGGGATAAAAACATGATGTTAAGGAGATGAAGGTAGTAGTTATATGGAAGCCTTAACCCTTGTCAGGGTTCAGACCTGATCTGAAAATTGCTCTCGGTCCAAGAATTTAAAAAAAAATAAAAATTCTCACTAAATGAGAGAATCTTTTTTCCTAAGGTAATAACACCAAAATAGCTATTTCGCTAGTATGCTTTCCATTCTATCGACAGAGTACAAGAAATCACCCATTTAACTATTTCGACTACCCAATAATAAAAGGTCAGTAGTTTGGCCAATTTCACACAAAATTAAAAAATGATCAATTGAAAAATTGGGTCCAAAATAAACAATGTAGACATTCCTGGCACTGAAACATTTCTTTTGTTCAGTAGTTACATCCTCAGGCCTCTCCTATATTACACTTGCTTTCCGTTTTGAATTTTTATTCATATAAAAAAATAATTTACTGTTATGCAGATTACTTCATTATTGTAATAATTGTATAAATAATGTCAGCGCACTTATGAATGCATATTAGGCTAACCAGCTGGATGAGTGACGTAATTTGTGTCCTCAGGAATATCAATAAAAATCGAGCATTTCTGTTTAAGATCAATTTCAAACTACTTCTAGCCCTACAACCAATTAACATCATCTCTTTTTCTGTAATATGTCTTCTATTCTATCAAATGACACCAAGAATACAACCATAAAAACCATCTGAAAATACACACAAAGTTCCTATTTTAAAGAAGTACATAGTCACAGTTATTTGTCCCATCATGCACTGTGTGGGGTAGGATTTTTTTTATATATACAGTGGTCCCCCGCTTTTTGTAGTTCCCGGCAATCGTAAAATTCGCCAATCATAGGGGTATTTTCGTATAAACATGGACTCGCTTTTCATAGGTTGACTCGCAAGTCGTAGTTCGTCCGGGACACGTACCCATGGTGTGAGCCGGGGCGGCAGCCAGTCTGGCATTGTTTACCAGTGAGCAAAGGCCCCCTCACGTGCTCCAGCAAAATATTTCATAATATTCCATTTATTTTAGTGCTTGCAAGTACTAAATAAGCTACCATGGCTCCAAAGAAAGCTCCTAGTGCCAAGCCTGTGGTAAAGAAGGTGAGAAATACGATTGAATTTAAGAAAACCATCATTGAACAATATGAAAGTGGTACAAGTGTGGCCGAACTGTCCAGGATGTATAAGAAACCCTACACAACCTTATGTTCCATAGTGGCCAAGAAAAATTAAATAAAGGATGCTGTTGTGCAAAGGGAGTAACTATGCTGACAAAAATGAGATCACCAGTACTGGAAGAGGTTGAGAAGTTATTATTGGTGTGGATAAATGAGAAACAATTAGCAGGAGATACTCTTATGACTTCGTTTATTTGTGAAAAGGCTAGGCAGTTGCATGAAGATTTGGTAAAGAAATTGCCTGCAAATAGTGGTGAAGCGAGTGGATTTAAGGCGAGCAAAGGCTAGTTTGAGAGATTTAAGAACCGTACTGGCATACACAGTGTGGTAAGGCATGGTGAGGCTGCCAGTTCGGACCACAAGGCGGCTGAAAAATATGTGCATGAATTCCAGGAGTACATAAACAGTGAAGGACTGAAACCTGAATAAGTGTTCAATTGTGACGAAACAGGCCTCTTTTGGAAGAAAATGCCAAAGAGGACCTTCATTACACAAGAGGAAAAGGCAATGCCAGGACATAAGCCTATGAAAGACAGGCTGACGCTAATGTTCTGCGCTAATGCTAGTGGGGATTTCAAAGTGAAGCCATTACTAGTGTACCATTCTGAAAATCCCAGTGTATTCAGGAAAAACAATGTTATGAAGAGTAAATTGTGTGTGTTTTGGAAATCTAATAGTAAGGCATGGGTCACGAGGAAAATTTTCGTCGAGTGGTTCAATGAAGTGTTTGGCCCTAGTGTGAAGGAGCATCTCCTGGAAAAGAAATTGGATCTCAAGTGCGTGCTAGTAATGGACAATGCACCTGCTCATCCTCCAAACTTGGATGACCTAATTTTCGAGGAGTTTAGGTTCATCACAGTAAAGTTCTTGCCCCCGAATACCACTCCTCTCCTCCAACCCATGGACCAGCAGGTTATTGCAAACTTTAAAAAACTCTACACAAAAGCAATGTTTCACAGGTGCTTGACTGTGACCACAGACACTCACTTGACCCTAAGGGAATTTTGGAGAGAACACTTCAGCATCCTCCACTGCATAACCCTTATAGGTATGGCTTGGGAGAGTGTGACTACCAGGACTTTGAACTCTGCCTGGAGAAAATTGTGGCCAGATTGTGTCGACAAGAGGGATTTTGAAGGATTTGGGACTGACCCTAATGAGCCTATGTCTGTTGTAAAATCAATTGTGGCACTTGGGAGTTCCATGGGGTTGGATGTGAGTTTGGAGGATGTGGAAGAATTGGTGGAAGACCACAATGAAGAGCTCACCACTGAGGAGCTGCAAGAACTTCAGCAGGAAGAGCAACACATCGCAGCTCAGAATCTTGCTGCAGAGGAGGAGGAAGAGAGATGGAAGAAGGTGCCTTCTTCAGAAATTAAAGAGATTTTTACTATGTGGGGTAAGATGGAAAGCTTTATGGAGAAACATCACCCTAACAAGGTTGTTGCAAGCCAGGTTGGCAACATGTACAGTGACAAAGTCTTGGGCCATTTTAGGGAAGTGTTAAAGAGACGCCAGAAACAGAGCTCTCTCCACAGTTATTTTGTGAGACAGGACTCCAGTGACTCTCAAGGTGGTCCTAGTGGCATTAAGAAACAGAGAAGAGAAGCAACCCCAGAAAAGCAAATGGTACCTGAGGTGTTGATGGAAGGGGATTCCCCTTGGAAACTATAAACAATCCACTCTCCTCCTCCAGTCTCCCATACACTAAGAAGAATCTCTAATAAAGGTAAGAGTTATGCTGTTAATGTTTCATTCATCATTTCCCATTGTATTGTTTATGTACTACATGTATATTTCATGTTAAAATTTTTTTTGTTTTAATACTTCTGGGTGTCAGGAACGGATTAATTGTATTTACATTATTTCTTATGGGGAAAATTGATTCGTAAATCGTAAATTTCATTTATAGTAACGGCTCCATGAACGGATTAATTACGAACGAGGGACCACTGTACATGGTACATACCACACAGACCCATCTTATATCTAGGCTCGCAGCTTATCTGAGTGAACTGAGCTCATCACTCAGTACTACGGCACAGACCCTGAGCTCAAATCCGTAGTACTATGGCCCAGACCTTGAAAGGGTTAATGATCATTCATTGTGTTCTTATCAAGTCACAAATTAATCAGATACCAGTTTTATCTGTGTGACTAAATATAAAGCATACTGCATGGACAAGACTTCATCAATCAAGGTTTAACATAACCTAAACATCAAACTGGTATCTCATACCATTATATACCCAGAATTAATTGATCTTTAAAACTTTAAGCTGACAAAAGATAGGCTGGGTAAAATTATGCTAAATTATATTAACTTGTCTCCTTATCATCAATGAAATATATTAATTTTGTGATGATCACTGTTTTTCATGAATTTATTGCAACAATGAATTTACAGTTTGGCAAATTGTTGCTCAAGCCAAGATCGCAAGCAGCTCTATCCAATCATGTATATGAAACAGAGCAACATCAACTCTAGTGAGGTAGTCACGGGTGTTGGTCGTGAAACAGTACTGTGATAAGCCTCACATCAGCTTCTATGATCGTTACTTTATATGTTCTTTGTTTGTTAATATTTTTTCAACAAATTGGCCATCTCCCACTGAGGTAGGGTGACAAAAAAACAAAAGAAAAAAAAAAACCACTGTCTTACCAGAGGGGCACTGATACTATAGTTCTAAACTGCAAATATCCCCACCCTTCCTTCAGAGTAGAGGCATTGTACTTCTCACCTCCAGGACATTCCTTAATATGAACCATTAATTCTGATTGGTACTACAGTACTGTGGTATATTTTAATATTTGTCCTCACTGGGTACAGTACACCCAGGTATAACAGATGAAGACTTATTTCTAGAAGTATACATCTCCAGGGTTAACAAAGTTCTTTTGTCAATGTTTACCACTCTAATGTTAACAAAATGTTGCTTAATAAACATATATGCGCCAGATACTGTAGAGGTCTGGTCATCATGAACTGAAATTAAAGAAACTGTTTATTCTAACTTCTCGATAACACTTGCTGAGGCTCAAATATAAGATACTGCTGCTATGCCTATTATCAAGATCTTAATTACTGACTTCTTGATGAAAAGATACAAAAATAAGATAGTGTTATGGTAAAATATAGTTGAAGTTTATCATCAAAAACCTGCACTTTGCAGAGGGCATTTAGGACATTTAGGTCTATCCTAGACCATTTTCAAATCGCAACTGTCTTCTGCCTTTCTCTCCATCAGTTGTAATTTGACAAAGGTCCAGGATGGATCAAAACTAAATCCTAAGTTTTTTTTCTAAATGTGGGTTTTTGGTGAATTGTGACTTTATTCTTTAACCAAAGTTTTTAATTGTCCAGATTAAAAGTCTGAGGAGTCTGACTGCTAAGAAACTAATTAATAAATCACAGAATAAATTGTCAAGGATCTAATGAGTTTGTTTGAAAATACAGTAAACCTTCAATATATTGGAATAATAGGGAAGACTGTCTAAGTGTCCATTAAATCAGAATAATGTTAACAAAATCACAGTTAAAAGCACTAAAGTACTCTATTCTATACCTAATACATCAGTACCCACAATTTACAGATATAGAGCAATAAATACAAAAATAAAAGTTAAAACGACAGTTCACCCAGTGGATTTTATTATTACAGAAGTTTTATATACAGTGCTCGTCATGGCATTATGCCGCGTGAGTGCCCCGGCATAATGCTGTGACAAAAATCAAGGGCCTACCATACAGGGGGGTCTTTTTTCATCAGCGCATTCTGCTGGGTAGCACCCATTAACATGATGTCACGGCCTGCCGCCACACTTCACAGTGACTTCTCATTTCTCACGTGGGTGCTGTGGTGAGAGGAAGTGTTGCGCTGTTCTCTCTCATCCACCCCATCTTTTGTCTGGTGTTCCCTTTGATTTTGGGGCTATACATATTTGATTATGGGTAAAAAGAAGTCTTTAACACCTGAAACTATACACATACACAAATAACCCGCACATAGAAGAGAGGAGCTTACGACGACGTTTCAGTCTGACTTGGACCATTTACAAAGTCACACTAGCAAGAAGTGGAGCAGGACGGCTATATATAGGCAGGAAGAGGTAGTGGTGGTAGTAGTAGTAGTAGTAGTGGTAGTAGTAGAAATAGTGGAAGTGATAGTAGTGGGGAATTAAGGAGGAGGAGCCAGTCAAATACAAAGAAAGGGGAGCACTGCAAGGGAGCTAGGTGCCCACAGAGGGAGAGCAAGTGCACAGAGGTGGGGGGAAGGGGAAGTGATGAAATAAATAATGAAGGAACAGAAACACGCGACAGATCATAGGGCTTCACAAAGCTGGGCACCAGACGAAAGAAATAGTGGAGAATGTTAGTGTGTGTGTGAGCGTTCAGTGAGGAACTGGGTGCAGCGTTTCAAGGCTGGTGGCTGTGTCGACTTACCGTCTGCCAAACCTCAGCCTGGCCCCTCAAAGTAGACATCTGTTTGTATCTTAACTGTGTTAATGAAGCAGTCACTCTCTAGCTGCTTCTTTAACACAGTTAAGGTATGAACAGATGTCTTCTTCGAGGGGCCAGGCTGAGGCTAGGCAGACGGTAACTTGACACCGCCACCAGCCTTGAAACGCTGCACCCAGTTCCTCACTGAACACTCACACACGCTAACATTCTCCACTATTTCTTTCGTCTGGTGCCCAGCTTTATGAAGCCCTATTATTTGAGCTATAGATTCAGGTGTTAAAGATTTCCTTTTACCCATAATCAAACATGTATATCCCTAAAATCAAAGGGAACACCGGACAGAAGATGGGGCAGATGAGAGACAACAATGCAACACTTCCTCTCACCACGGCAGACACATGAGCAATGAGAAGTCACTGTGAAGTGTGGTGACAGGCTGTGACATCATGCTAATGGCTGCTGCCCAGTAGAAAGCACTGACGAAAAAAGACCCCCCTGTATGGTAGGCCTCTGATTTTCATCACGGCATTATGCCGGAGCGCTCACCCGGCATAATGCAGTGACAAGCACTGTAGAGGTATGTTTTAATTAAAGTTTACTGTACAAGGAAACTTGACAGTTACTAACTTTTAGTACTAAAATCGTATATACAAATCAGTATCAGTATCAGTATCAGAATCATACACTTTTCAGTTGCTAAATACATGAAAAATCATAAGGATAACATTATTTCATTACATTCATAGAGAAGAATTAAACTTGTGGGACTTGCAATGTACCTGGTGAATGAGAGGTTATTTGATATGATCCAAGGAAGGAAATGGCAGCTTTAATTCCTTGGCTCAGGCATTAGAGTAACAACATTGAGCAATCCAGGATGTCTACAACCTACCTGTGCTTTTGAATATTTACCAATGCTAATTTGGTAACCACATACTAACAAATTTCATAAATAGGGATTTTACAAGTGGCAGCCCTGGCAGACTGCTGCCCAGATGATGCAATGAGTCAGTACAAATAATATCTTACAGAATGTACAAACAAATGATGATAATAAACAGGCTCTGGATGAAACAGTGTGTTACTGAAGACGAAGACACCAGTGGCAGAACAACTTTAAATTGGAACATCCCTACGTCTCCCTCAGTACAGGCACTGCCCTTCCACCTCCAAGACTCAAGTCCGGCTAACCAATTTCCTTTGAATCCCTGCATAATTTTGACTCCATACATAATTATTCTGCCACTGTTTGGTTTTTTTGAGGCACAAATACTAATATTTTCCTTGAAGGAAATGAGGGTGCACTGATGTTAATAACCTGATGTAGGCAACATCTCTTAGCTTATAAATAAAATTAGGAATCCTAACCTTGTAAAACCCTGTGAAAAAAAAAAAGAGGGGGGCTCTTATTTTATGAAAGAAGCTCTCCTATTCCCTTCCATCATCACACCTAATTACTTTCCCTTCTCCAGGCATTGTATGACCCTCAATGGTTCATCTCTTCTAAAATACAGTACTAAGTTACTGGTTAATTTCACTAAGACGTCACTTTCACCCTGAACAGGATCGTTGATGGGCTGGTAACATCGGCTACGGCAATCTCCATTCCATCACGCAAACCCAACTCTGAAAGATAAATACTGGGTCAACATATTTTTTAATGAAATGAAGAAACCCACATGAAGACAAGCAGTGTAAACATGGAGACAAACACAGTATAAACAAGGAAACAAAAGCAGTGTAAACAAGGAAACAAACAAAGTACTACATATAAACAAGGAGACGGTATATTTCAATCTCAGTCAGAGATTTTGTACAGCAGTCAAAGGAGATTGTAATATGCAGGTTTTCTTATTGTGCTTTTGTGTCTTAGTTCACTGACAAGAGTGAATAACTGGTTTAGAAAACCAAAAAGTTGATAAATGAGACACTTGTGCAACATTTGGGTATCTTTATTCTGGAAACGTTTCGCCAGGCCATTCAATTCACTCTAATGAGGACCATAGAGCACTTCAGGATGATTTGAATAGACTGATGCAATGGTCGGAGATATGGCAGATTCAGTTTAATATAGACAAATGCAAAGTTCTAAATGTTAGACAGGAAAATAACCATGCCACATATAAACTAAATAATGTAGATCTTAATACTACTGATTGCAAAAAGGATTTAGGAGTTCAGGTAAGAAGTAATCTAAAACCAAGGCAACAGTGCATTAGGGTTCGCAATAAAGCTAACGGAATCCTTGGCTTCATATCTAGAAGTATAAATAATAGAAGTCCTCAGGTTGTTCTTCAACTCTATATATCCTTGGTTAGGCCTCATTTGGATTATGCCATGCAGTTCTGGTCACCGTATTGTAAGTGCACTGGAAAACGTACAAAGGAGGATGACATAGTTGATCCCATGTATCAGGAATCTTCCCTATGAGAATAGACTGAGGCCCTGAATCTGCAGTCTCTTGAAAAATGTAGAATTAGGGGGGATATGATCGAGGTGTAAAAATGGAAAACAGGAATAAATAAAGGGGATGCAAATAGCGTGCTGAAAATTTCCCGCCAAGACAGGACTCGCAGCAATGGTTTCAAGTTAGAAAAATTCAGATTCACGAAGGATATAGGAAAGCACTGGTTTGGTAATAGAGTTGTGGATGAGCGGAACAAACTCCCGAGTACAGTTATTGAGGCTAAAACGTTGTGTAGTTTTAAAAATAGGTTAGATAAATACATGAGTAGGTGCGGGTGGGTGTGAGTTGGACCTGACTAGCTTGTGCTACTAAGTCTGATGCAGTGCTCCTTCCTTAAGTGGAAGTGACCTGATTAGGTGGGTGTTTGGGCTAATCCAGGGGGAAGACATGGACCTGCTTTGCATGGGTCAGTAGGCCTGATGCAGTGTTCCTTCTTTCTTATGTTCTTATGTTCTTCAGTTCAAAAGTGGAAGATGAGGAGAAATTTGAGGTAATCAGTCCCTCAGCCTGAAGTTGATGTGTTCAGTCCATCAATGATTACTGGACTGAACACATCAACTCCAGGATGAAGGACTGATTACCTCAAACTCCTCATCTTCCACCATTCTCTGCATTAGACTGAGGAAGTCACTGACTGACAGAATGTTCACTACACCTTGATGTTTTATAATTGGTTTTTAGCTTCTTGTATGGAATTTAAGAACTAATACATTACTCTAAAATATGTGAAAAATTCCTCATAAATTATACTTTACTTCAAATATTATTTATGACCCATAAAAGTTTAATTATTTTTAATATAAAAATTTTCCTTGCTTCATGCAAATTCATTTAAATATGACCCTATTTAACAGAATTCTTCCTCCGTAAGCTATGCGTGTCGTAAGAGGCGACTAAAATGCCAGGAGCAAGGGGCTAGTAACCCCTTCTCCTGTATATATTACTAAATTTAAAAGGAGAAACTTTAATTTTTCCTTTTGGGCCACCCCGCCTCGGTGGGATACGGCCGGTTTGTTGAAAGAAAGACGATGACCCTATTTCTACCATTAACTATTCTTTTTAACACACCAGCCTTCTCCCACTGAGGTAGTGTGACCTGAAAAAGAAGAAACGCTTTCACCATCATACACTCTATAACTGTCCTGCCAGAGGTGCACTGATACCACACTTCAGATGTGATCACCTCAGCACACCACCACTGGATGTTTAACTTTTATAATCACTGTGAACTGGTTTCTAGTGACATAAGAAAGTATTATAGTTGACCTACTGGCCAACAGTCTGTAAATCCTACTTTTCCCAACCATTCCCACTCATACATAACACTTACTATTGCCCGAAATGCTCTGCATATAAAGGGGCTTTTGGCATGTACACCCAATTGTTATACTTCTTTGTACAAACACGTATCATGCTGAAATAAAAGTATCATCATCATCATCATTATTGGTAACCATTGCTTCCGTATGCAAAGAACAGAGGAGAACAAAGAAGCACTGCAGTGGGCCTACTGGCCCATGCTATGTAGCTCCTACTCTTAGCTACTCTACTGCTAAACCATTGCTACGCTAAATAAGTATGAAGGACTCCTAAAGTAGGCCTACTGATCTATGTTATATAAATCCTATTCTCACCAAACTATTCCAAGTTGTTTTTAACTATATTCATAAATCAAGAAATGTGGAATTAGCAAGTCTTGGAACATATCCCTGTGTTTTACATGCCAAGGCCCTGGAACACATCTATCATATAAAGGAAAAGACTCTTTCAACACACCGGCTGTAACCCACCGAGGCGGGGTGGCCCAAAAGAAAAAACAAAAGTTTCTCCTTTTATATTTATTAATAGTTAATTTTAAGCCAGCCCGAAATGCTATGCATAGTATAAGTGGCTTTGGCATGCTGCTCTTATCTGTATTTTTTTGTACCTCTGTATGTATGCTCAAATTGTTAATAAATAAATAAATAAATAAATATACGTATACAGGAGAAGGGGTTACTAGCCCCTTGCTCCCGACATTTTAGTCGCCTCTTACGACACGCATGACTTACAGAAGAAGAATTCTGTTCCACTTCCCCATGGAGAAAAGTAAAAGACACCTGTAATAATAATCTTTCATCTTTCAACGCACCGGCAATATCCCACCGAGGCAGGGTGGCCCAAAAATAAAAACAAAAGTTTCTCTTTTGAATTTTAGTAATGTATACAGGAGAAGGGGTTACTAGCCCCTTGTTCCCTGTAATAATAATATATTCAAATATTATTTGGAAGTGCTGTTCAGCAGTTTAAAAACTGCTTAAGTTTGTATTTTATTGTACATGTCTTTTCTTGACAGAAAGCACGTATACTTTTTCACATTTTATTGCATGTTCAGATTTTTTCCACTTCCATAAGTGCACTATAGCCTAGACTTGACATTTCATACCCAATGTCCTCATGGTGAGCCCTTATTATACATCAAAATAGATAAAAAAAATTGTTACATTAACAATCACTATACAGTGGTCCCTTGACTTACAACGATTTTGAGTTATGATTTACCCTCATAAAAGAATTTAGTTTTGAGTTGTGACGAAAAATTTGAGACGCGATACGTGTACATTGGTCAGTGTGCATGGGTGGGACTCAGCTCAGATACAAGCTAGAGTGGGAAGAATGGGAGCGGTGGGTGGGAATGAGGGAGGGGTGGAAGGGAGGAGGCTAGGAGACTATGCCTATAACAAACGCAGACAGCGGCAGAGTGTGACAAAAATAAAAGTGTGTTAATAATATGTCAAATCTACAATTCTTTACCAGTCTCTGCTTGCCCTGCCTGCCCTGTCCTACCTGCCCTGCCCTACCTTTCTTGTCCTGCCTTGCCCTGCCCAGCCTTGGCCTGCTCTACCTGTTAAAGTCTGTCCTGCCATGACTGCTCTGGCTTGTTCTGCCATGATTGTCCTGGTCTGTCTTGTCATGCCTGCTCTGGCCTACCTGCCCTTCCCAACACCACCACACCAACTCTTCAAGTCCAGGTATAATAAAAGTTGCACCTTTGGAGTCTTGGAACAAATTACCATAAAACTGTGTATTTTAAGGTTTGACTTACTATAGTTTTGAGATGGAAAAAATGTTCTGGAATGGATTAACATCCTAACTCAAGGGTCAACTGTATACTTATGACTGCAAGTCAAGGGTCATGCTCGCTCTGTCAAAAAAATAGTTTTTAATCTATACACTGTTTTTCTAGGGACAATATAATTTTTGCTTTACCTAGTCTTGTAATAAAATTGGTAGAATTACCGACAATATGTAAAGTAAAAGGACACAAGTGCAACTAATGTGACATTATATTGTGGAAACGTTTCGCTCTCTCTCCAGGAGCTTTATCAAGCCATTACAAACAATACATGGACACAGAGAGTATATATAGGCTCAGAGTGAGGTGCAATACTAGTGGTAGTATTAGTAGTAGTAGTAGTAGTGACAAAAGTTGTAGTAGTAGTAGTAGTAATACAATATGGTAGAGCAATTAATTCGTACATGAGTAAAAGGATATAAAAGCTATTACTTGGGTAACATAAAAATAAGATGGACAAGTATAAACTGGATAAAGGCAGCCTGTTTCAGTGTTCACTCTCTGTAATGTGCATTGTGTAGTATAACAGGAGAGACTATGTTATGGCACGGTTTACTGTTTTCAGGAGGATTCTTGCTAAGACTTCAGAGATGGTGAAGCTGCCGTTGTTTTGTTTAACTGTATTCAAAACAGCGATCAGTGCTGATTCGAGGCACTTGCGTCTGCGGAAATTAATTTCTTTGATTACTAATTGGGAGTCCCTGAATTTCATGAGATGATTGGTGGAATTTCGGTGTTGTACACAGGCGTTGTTCAAGTTATCGTTCCTACATGCGTAAATGTGTTCATTGAGGCAGGTGTCAAGGTTTCTTGCTGTTTCACCTACGTAAATCTTGTCACAGCCTCCACAGGGTATAGTGTAAACTCCTGCGTTGACTGGTTCGTGGTGCTTTGATTTTGTCCTGGTTAGATTCTTTATTGAAGTGCTAGAAGCGATGGCGACTCTGGTGTTAGCTTGTGAAAGTACAGTGGACCCCCGGTTAACGATATTTTTTCACTCCAGAAGTATGTTCAGGTGCCAGTACTGATCGAATTTGTTCCCAT